ACAATCCATCCTTGATATGGAATGCAAGGGCGGATGACAGCGCAGCGCAGCCCCCTCGGCTTCGATTGATTTACGCCGAGACTGACGCTTTATCAGGCACACGAAAAAAGTTTGACCAATCATTTTGCTGGGAGCTCACAACACAGCAGCCCAACTGTACTTTGTTGGCTGGGAAGTTGGAGAAGGGGGTAGAGTACAAATCTAGATCTGTCCTATATATATTTTATTTTTTTTTAATTTTTTTTTTCCCTTCATTGAACCGTGCTTTGTATGATGTCTGAGAATGTCCATTTCTGGGACTCTTAGCAATTACTATGTCGACTCTATTATAAGTCATGAAAGTGAAGACTCGCCTTCAGCTAAATTTTCATCTGGGCAATATACAAGTTCCAGGCAAGCTGGGCACAATGAGCATCTAGAATTCCCCTCCTGTAGTTTTCAGCCAAAACCTCCAGTTTTCAGCGCCTCCTGGACTCCTTTGAATCCACATTCTTCTGGTACCCTTCCTGCCGTCTACCATCCATATATTCAACATCAAAGCGTCCCATCTGATAGCAGGTATCTCCGGAGCTGGCTGGATCCAGTACCCAGAGCAGAGAACCTCCCCGGGCAGGGATCTGTTAAGGCAGAGCCGCTGCTGGGCCGTCCAGGGGATGTCCATAAACAGGGAACACAGGAGTACAATTTAGAAACTTCTGCTGCAAGGGAAGGGATCGTTTCCAATCAAAGGCCCAGCTTCGAGGACAATAAAGTTTGTGAAGGAAGCGAAGACAAAGACAGGACAGATCAAAGTAAGTTATAAAAGTGAGGAAGTAAACAGTATAAAAGCTGGAGGAGGTGCAATAAAAGGGGACAATGCTGCGTAAAGTTTAAAATCAGGGCTTAAAGAAAAGTCTCAGCTTGCTGATGCCAACCTAAGGGGAGAGGTGGGGAGGGGAGAGGGGGTGGCATTGTCTCTGCCGGTAAATACAAATAAAAATAAAAACCAGCGTCTTCTCGGAGCTTAAACAGAGTCCAGAGAGGACAAAAGCTGGAGCGAGTCATCCTCTCGGCTACAGAGCGCTGGCTCCGGCAGCAGAGAGCCCTTTAGTAAGCGGGAGGAAATCTGCGCGGGTGCGGGCGGAGGGGAAGGGACGGGACGGGGGGAGCCAGGGAACGGAGGGGAGAAAGGTGGGGAAAAGGGGAGCGGGGGAAGAAGAAGAAGAGGGGGGGAAAGAGGAGAAAATCGCGGAGAAAAAGTTCACGGGGGGGAAGTCACCAGCAGCGGGGGCTTCGCCGTGCCCGGTGTCCCCGGTAGCCGCGGGGGAGGGCTCGGGGTGCGTGTCCCCCCCCCTCCGACCCCCGGGTTCGTGCTGCCGGTGGGTTTAGTTTGTCTTCGGGTTTATTTGTGTGGTGTTCTCCTTGTTTGTTTATTAAACGCAGCGGTTCGGGGTAGGAATATTTCAGAGCCACGCTCCTTCCTAGTTGTTCTTTTTTTTTAAAAAAAAAAAAAAAGGAGGGGGGGGTGTTTCCAAGTTAATTAGCTTTTATTTGTAATGTAGCCAGATTGAGGGAACAGTTAAACTTCAGCGTGTGATTTTTCTGCGGGCTGGATTGTCTTTTTTGTTTTCGCTGGAGGAGTAAAGGACAAAAAAATCGCCTTGAAAATATTTAATATTACCAGTAATGCTATTAATAATGCTATTATTAATAATAATGAGCATAATAACAATAATAATACCAATGCAACGGCGTTGGAGTGAGGAAGAATCAGTCTCTTCCCCTCCTGCCGATCCGGTTGGTACCTGGGTGCCATCTGCGAGGTAAACCGGAGCCAAAACCCGAGCAGGAGGCAAAGGGGGAAACTTGGCTTCACCCCCACGGTAAATATTTTGCGGTGAAAGCCGAAGTTTTCCAACCTGGCAGCAAAACAGCCCCCGCCGAGGGCTGAACTGCTCGGAGCCTGTGCAGGACGCACTGACACAGTCATTTTTTTCCCCCCTTGAATTAACTTCTTTTCTTGATATTTTTTTTTTCATTCCCTCTCCCTCCCCACAACGTGGAACAGCAACAGAGGTGCCACCGCAGCTCTAGGATTAAAAATACAGTATATTCTCGCCCCTCACCATTTCCTCTCCTCCTTGTGCAGGATGTTATGGTGACTTTTTCTCCCCCCCCCCTCCTATCATTTAACTCGCACAGAGCCACACAGCCACACACACTCACACACACATACAAAAAGAAAGTCCTGTGCTATTGTACTGGGCAAAGATCCAGAACAAACTGCGACCGTGAGGTGAATGATTCGAGAGAATTAAATATCCAGGTTCTGTGCTCAATGTCCCTGAAATTGAATATATAAAAATCTTGTCCAAGAAAATGTTATTAAGTTATAAGTAAGTGCAGGGACCCGCGCTAAGAGGATGCTGTGTGGTTTCTATGGCGTGTGGTTACGACGCATATTTTGTTTTAAATAATAGTTTAATTTGGGCTGATGCTGAGAGCCTGCCAGGGCTGGAAGATGGAGCTGTTTTGCAGAAAGTACTCCCACCAATTTCCCTGACTCTTCCAATTTTTGAAAGTATTTCTTCATAATGAATCCCCGCCCTGCGTATGGCACCGGGATCTGGTAATTTATTTGCTGGATTTTAAAGAAAAGCTGTGCCAGAACCTCTTCCCATTCACTTTCTTGTTTAGGGTTTTGTGTGTAGTGAAGAGATAAAGCAACAGTGGCGTTTAAAGTATCTTCTGTTGGAACGATCCAAAATACGAGCAAAAAAATATGACCAAAAAGTAAAACCAAACCGAATAAAAATCCGTTATAAAGCAGAGCCCTCCACTGTCATTAAAGGATGGGTAGCAGGATTAACAGTATCAATTATTAACAGCTTTCTTCCTCTTTAATATTTAATTCTGCATATTAGATCAAGTCAATTACATTAAGGAAATAGCCGTGCAAATTTGTAAGGGGCAGTACTTACAGGGGAAGATGAACCGGGTTATTTTTTATAAAAAAATATTCCATCTCTTTCATTTTGTGTAGAGGAAACGTTCTGACGGCGCGCGTGTGTGTGTGTATGTATATATTTATAATGGTCCATTTAATTGGTGTAAAGGTTTATGGCTTCAGTCATAATTTCAGGGGAGGCAAAGGAAATAAAATAGAAATACGTGGTCTGTCCCTAACCCTTCATTTTACTCTCTCCCGCCTCTCAGCTCCTCAACGGTCAGCTAATATTTGCATGTGATTAGTAAACGCTCTATTATTTACCCCAAACCCACTTCACCTTTAGGTGCGACCTTCACCACTCCGCTGGCCGCGGGGGT